TGGAAGTTAGTTACGTTGGGAAGATGGAAGGCTTGCCCCTTTAATCCAAACACATCCAGCTCTAGAGTTAGACAGCCGCAGCTTAGCCACGTTCAAGCTCCATATGATGTCTTACTTCTAACACTGTGGTGAATTGTCTCTATTGCAAACAATTGTTAAATATATTACTGGGCTGGAAGGAGGTGGGGGAGGGAAGGATCAGGGAAGCTGGAAGTCAAATGAATGACTCTTGGTGATGTGGGACAAGCTTGCACTGTTGTGCCAGTTAAGGTCAACTCAGAAAGTCATTTCTCTTTTAATCTTGGGAGTTTGACTTCTTTGTGGCAAGACAACAGACACACATGCTTGAATGACACTGAGTCTTCTTGGGGAAGAAGTGGCAATCCTGTGCCCCAGGAATTCAAGAACATTGGATCTGTTAGCTAGAATAAATTCCCTGTGGGTATGTCAGTTCTTTTCTTTTTTTGAGACAGGATTTCTCTGCCTTGGCTGTCTGGGAAATCATTCTGTAGACCAGGCTGGCCTCAAACTTAAACAGATCCACCTGCCTCTGCCTCCTGAGTGCTGGGACTAAAGGCGTGCGCCACCGACACCTGGCTGATGTTAGTTTTCTTAAAGAGACTCTCCATGCTTAAAGTTCACGTGGGCCAGGGTACCCCGACATCTGACTTGGAAAGCCTAGAGCTGTGCCTCCCAGGACACGAGACTCCGGACACCTCTCACACCACATTCTAATGGCTTGCAGGCAACAACTTAGATGAGAAAGGAGGAAAGTCATGGAATAGAGACAGAAAAAAGAGACACCAAAGAATTTAGCCGAGTTGATAAGTTCAGTTCAGGACAGAGCATTTTACCCAGAGGAATGCTTGCCTCCAACCCCATGCCTCACTCTCCAGAGTGGGTCCTTCCCTTCTCCATTTTGTTACACATGCCATATAGCAAGCACTCCAGGGCTGCAATGAACATCAAGACGAAGGGAGCTCTGAACCTCTCGAACGCACAGTTAGAGTGTGAGGGTGGAGCGCACACCTGGAGGAGGGGGAAGACTGGAAGGGAAGCCGTGAAGGTTATCACCACAGCACCGCGTGACAGAGAACACAGGTGAGAAAACAGCAATGCAGGAGGCGATGCTTCTACGGCAGAGAAAGGAGGCCAGTGTGACTGAAGGGTAGTTATAGAGCCTGGAGGAAGTGTAGGAAAAGTCTATTATCGGTACTACTCATTTACTACGGATTTAACCCTGTTTTAAGCAATTCCATATTAATTCATTTTAAATCCTCCCAGCACCTCCATCATGCATTCCTACCTCTACTTTGCAGGTGAGGAAATTAAGCACTGAAGAGATTAAACAATGTCCTTCAAATCACACAGCCATAGAGCAAAGCCTGGATTCCCACATTCCCAGGCACTGCGCCTCCACCTTCTACACGTCAGGCCTTGGCCAGGCTGTCTCCAAACCAAGCGGAAGAGCAAGTCTGCCCACATTTGACCCTCTCCTGAGCATAAAACATATTAACAAGAAGGCAGAGCTAATAATTAGCTCCAGGCCTGTGCCTGATTACAGACTGCGATGTCTTTACTTGGAAAGGGGAACAAAACAATCTTGGGAAAGATCCAGAAAAGAACATTCTCATCCGAGTGTACGGCAGTACGAGGAGAGGAGCCGAGGGACGAGCACTTCTTCCAGTCTCCTGGCATGCGGCTGGGCAGGGCAGCCCTGAAGCTGGCTTTTCATCACCACATCATGATTCCCATCAACCTGTCCATGAACGGACATTCCACAGGAGCGTAATGTCGCGGGGCAACGAAGCTCTGACTTCCAGATGAGGAAAATGTCCTGAATGAGTCACACTGTCACTACTTGCATTTTCCATCATAAGAAACAGAGACAGCTCAGAGTTGTTATAATTCTTAGCAGATGCTAAACCCCTGGGAAGATACCAGTCATAAGGAGCCACCTCGGCTGCTGGCTTTCATCTGGCTTGACCCTCCCATGATTCTCGGGACTTAGAAGCAGGCTTGGCCATAACTATTTGCATTTTTCTATCTTAAAAAAAAAACCCCTGCCATCTTCATTCTATATTTAATATTTATGCCTATTATGCATATATGTTTGCGGACAAAATGGCCAGAAACGTATGAATGTATGCCACCCGTGTGTGTGTGTGTGTGTGTGTGTGTGTGTGTGTGTGTGTCTGCAAATGCCAGAAGGTGTCAGAGCTCCCGGAGCTAGAGTTACAGGTGGTTGTAAGCCAGTGGCGTGGGTACTGAGACAGAATTCAGATCTTCTCAAAGAGCAGCACCTGCTGTTACCTGCTGAGCCATGGCCCCAGCCTCCATTCGCATTTCTCAAGCTGCAGAGGCACACAGCATCGTTTACTTAAAAACAGAAAGGCTCGTAGTCTCAGCATGTGGGGCACTGAGGCAGGAGGATTGAGAATGTGAAGCGAGGCTGGGCCTGTAAGGATGCTGTTTCAAAGAGTAACAAAACAGGTGGGGGATGGTACCAGAGTACTGGAATTCACATTTCAGCTGCTGAGCAGAATAAATCTGGAGAGAAGCCAAAGGGTGACAAGTGGACATAGGACATTCTCAATGCATTTGTGAAACTGTGTGATTTTCCTGCTCCAGCTGCTGCGTTTCCCTCCACAGAGAGGCAACAGGACCCTGAGAGAGAGCTAATATTACAGGGATAAACAGAAAATAATAGCAAGTCTTTCCTATTCAAGAGGACAGTGTACTCACAAGCAGGATTGATAAACTCAGCTGCAAGAGCGGGGCGGGGGGGAGTGGCTCAGTCTGCAAAAATGCTGGCCATGCAAGCATGGGTAGCTGCTTTCAGATCTCTGTACCCATGTTTGAAAAAAAACCAAAAAAACAAACAAACAAAAACCCAGGGTGCGGGGAGACAATCCCAGTTCTCAGGAAGCAAAGACAGGAGGATCCCCAGTGCTTGCTGGCCAGCCAGGCTAGCTGAATTAGTAAGATTCAGTGAGAGAACCTGTCTCAAAAAAATACGGTGGAGAGTGAGTAAGGACACATTCAAGGTTGACCTCAGATCTTCGTATGTATATACGTGCACATGTGGGCATTTGCATGCATGTATACGTGAACACATGCTTCAATTGCAGAAATGACAGCAGCATGTGCTAAAGGGAGATATTTAACGTAGGAAATGGTTCAAAGGTTTACAATCAGCTCAGCGCCCAGCTGGTGTTAATCTACTTTTTGCAGGTTCATTTGACATCCACCTCATTCCTGACTGGCCCAGGGGCTTTGCAGCATCTCTTTGGATAAATACATCGTGTGTGTGTGTGTGTGTGTGTGTGTATGTGTGTGTGTTTCCTCTGTGCTGTCCTCCTATGAGGGAGTTAATGTTCAGACTGTTTCCTCCAGAACTCTATGCCAGCAGGAGGGAATCTCAGTGAGGGAAAGTCTGCCTTTGTCCTTTAAAAGGTCTCAATAAATACCCAGGATGACCCTGAATTAGCATTCTTTTGCCTCAGTCTATCTGGTGCTAGGATTCCAGTTGCAGGCCTTGGCACCCAGCAAGATTTTGTTCCTTAGTCTAAGGAAGGCCCAGGAGCTCCGTTTCTATGGCTATATAGACAGTATGACTGTCGCTTTATATATAGTAACACTGGTTAAAGAGAGAAAGAATCACTTGACAAAGTTTTCTATTTCTGTAACATTGTGTCAGGAAGAAGCTGCGCAGAATGTACTTCCCAGGGTGAAAGCACTTGTTTGGATTTCAGATGTTGGTTTTATTTAACTCCTCAGATAAATTTAGCTCTCGTGAGAATAAATACTCTGGATCCCCTGACTCAGACAATACACTCTCATTACTGACACGCCGAAATAAAACACGCCTGTAACCCCGACCAATAACCTTGGGTGTTTCCCCGGAAACTGCAGTCTGCAGGTGCCCTACAGATTTCCTCAGAGAAGCCCTGGGTCAGCTTCTGCTGTAGAATCTGCAGACCCTGCAAGGCCGCACCTGAGCCGGCCACACTGGAGCAGGAAGCTAGCTGGCTTCTCCCGGGACATCCCCTTTTCCTAGTTAAGGGATTCAAATCCCAAGCCGCAGCGTTCCTTTCCCACCCATCCGACCATTTCTCTGTTTCCCCTCTACTTCCTTTCCCACACTCACTTGCACCCTACGCTACTAGTAAATCGCTGCCTCCAAGGCAGCGAAGAATTAGCAGAAGCCATAACCCAGGGGAGCGGACTCGCGGTCAGTGTTCCCTTCCGCCACCCCGTAGTGGCCCCACCCCTGTGGTTCTGGGTCTCCCTGTAGAGGCCCAATATACGAAGAGACACTTGCAGACGTGCAAGGAAGACAGGAATGAGGATCCCTGCCCTCTTTCCTTTCCCGAGAAGTCTCTTGCTAAGAGGACAGAGGCAGGAAAACGACCCACATTCAGGTTTCGTTGCAAATATTTCTACGAGGCGAGAGGCAAACAAACACAATTCCCTCTGAGACCCTCTAGAAGGATCCTAGCAACAACACAGCCACAGCAGGACTGCAGCTTGCACGCCGCTTACGAAACCTGTGCTAGATCAGGTCCGCATGGCCAGCTCCCACTGCAGAACTCGGGTTTCCCTTCTCTGTACTGGAGCCGCAGTGTAAGCCCAGGGTAAGGTCAGGTGGTCTCCGGAAGGCCGAAAGAGGGAGCCGCAGGTCTTTACACGGCTAGCGTAAACGAGGGGAGGAAAATAAGGGACTGAGGATGAGCTGACCTTGACAGTCTCCCCGAGCTGGAGATGGCGGGGTAGGGGTCTCACCAGAAGCTCCAAAGCCACCCATCAGGAAGAGGGTGCAGGGCAGGCGGAGGGCAGAGTGGATAGAAACGCAGAGCTCAAATCGACCGATAAGGGAGGAAGGTTGGAGAGACACCCCATTCCATCCCAAGTGGCTGAGATGCAAGCTGAGCGCGGGTAGGCATTGGGGTGCACTAGCACAGCTAGAGTTCCTGCAGCCCGGAGCTGCCGGCACTTACCTGGCTCACCTTCGTGCGCCTGGTGCAGACCGGAGCTGCGCAGCGCTGTCTGGGTGCGGCTCCCGTGGTGGGGTAGGACCTGCCCGACTCCGCCCCGGACAGCGCGCGGCCACGCCCCCCGGGCGGAGCTCCGACCACAGGGACCTCCCCCGGCATTGGCAGTTCTCGTCTCCGAAGCGAGTTTGCATTTTTTCTCCCTGTTCCTGACAGTCCGCGTGTTTACCTCTCCGGCCCCCGAGTCTACATAGTTGCTAAACTCTCCAGGTATCTTTTCGTGACCACAGTCCTAAAATAGTCCTGGAGGTTCACACTGCTCGGTTGGAACGGGAGGAATCCTAACGCGTTAGCAATTGGTCCCCAGCAGGCCACCGTAACTCATCTCGGTGTGCGTGCGCAGAAAGAGAATCTTTTTTTTTTTTTTTTTTTTTTTTTTTTAGGGTGCCTGGGGCGGGTGTGTGTGGGAGGGGGGCGTCCTGGGGAGGTGCTTGGGAGTCCGGGAGTTCCCTTAGCCAACGCTGTTGGCGCCGGCCGCAGCCCTGCTCACGCGGTGGGCCGCACCCCCTTCTCGCTCGCTCCCGGGGCAGGCGGGCTCCTGCGGTTTGGCTCGCTCAGGTGTTTCTCCCTGGACCCCGTAGACCTAAGGAGAGCACAGACACACCCTCTTACGCCACCTCGCGGCGGCCTCCAGGAAAGCCTAGGGTAGGACCTACCGCGCAGAGGCAGACCTTGGCTGCACCAGTGGGCCCACCCGCTACTAGTGTCTCTGTTTTTGGGGGAGAAACTGCACTTCTAAGACAGAGTGCTTGGGAATGTAATGATTACAAGCCAGCAAAGACTAGAATAAAAAAGGGGCCTAGGCTGGCTTTTCATTTTTATTGGCTTGTCATGCCCACGCATCCAGAAGTACTTTGGAGGCTCATAAAACCTTTACTATTGCTGTTTCACCAGTTTTCAGTTGTTCCCGTGCTTTCTAAGTACAAGAAAGGTTTCTACTTCGGGTGTCCTGGTAGATTGGGTTTAAAGGACGTGTTTTAACTGAACATCGAGGGAGCGAATAGGAAAAACCGTGTCTGCATTATTAGGGCGCTTGTTCTCCTCTTGCTTCTGGTCTGTATACAGACCAGAAAAGTTAAGCCTACGTGGCGGAAGGGACGGCCAGAAAGCCAGGATAATTCTGGCTGCTGCTTTCACAGACATTTGTTTGACCCTAAACATGAATTGATCATGTAGGATCTTTTAAAAACCTTACAAGGCCAGAGACAGGTAGAGCTGTGAGTTTGAAGCCAGCCTGGTCTGCACAGGGAGTTCAGAACAGCCAGGAGTACATAGTGAGTACACACACACGCACACGTGCGCGCCCCAAACCCAACCAAAAACCCACCCAGACAGCAATAAAACCACCAACCAAATCAATCAAAACTTTACAAAAAGCAGCATTTGCTTTTTGCAGATGTTTTAGAAAATACAGGAGGGAACCTCCTCTCCCCCAATTACAAATGTGTTTGTGCACGCTCTGGATGACGTAAGGTTTTAGTTGTTTAGCCTATCTTATAAATTGTAATCCACTTCCCTTTCCTTGCCTGTCCATCCTTCAACATTATTTGGTGATGATTGTATGCCACTTCATGGAAATCTTTGGTTGGGGGTAGCTTGTTTTGAGTTTTTCTATTACAACTAACAACTTTGTAAATCTGTGTGGCCTTATGATGATTTTAAAGAGGAATGTCTGGGTCAGAGAGTACATATTTCTTCAAATCTCCTGATACCCACAAACAGTAGGCATTCCTGGAAGAGAGTGAGCATTTTCTCCATCCTGGGTGTTGGATATACTTGCCTCTTTTCTAAGTTGGGACAAGACTGTTACCCCGAGGCTGTTGTGAGGATCAAATGGAGTGCTGCACAAGAGCCCTGTGTGCTTTTCCTCGGGTTAATGTACTTGGAGGCCAGGAAAGCTTCAGGAATTTGATGTGCAGCATTTTGGCTCAGAAGTTACTGTGTCCCTCCTTCACTCACCATAAATTCCTTCTCCACTTACAAACCTGGCTCCTCTGCCTCTCTAAAACATCACCAGTCACCTTGTAAACTCCCCACGGCATCTCAAGCTTAGTCCCCCCCCCCCCCACACCCCCCCCCCCCCCTTCCCCCCCCCCCCCCCCCTCCCCGCTTTCCCCCCCCCCCCCCCCCCAGTCTTTGCTGGCTGCTCTTCATTGCTCCGATTCTTAAAATGTGTTACAGATTCTCCAGAGTGCTGTTTCTCTCTCTCTCTCTCTTTCCCTCTCTCTTTCCCTCTCCCTCTCTCTCTCTCCTTTGCATTCCTCTCGTCTGAATCCCTTCATTGACTCTCCCTTGATGACTCATCCGCTGCACTGACTGTTCTGGGTGTAGAGTTTACATCTCCTTTGTTGTAGTTAGTGGAGGTAGAACTTAGCAGTATTGACGTTACAGGGCCAGTTCTCCCCAAGCTTCATGGAAGTGTGAGCCTGTTTGTGAGCCAGCCTGCCTGAGTTCCAGGACCACCATGGCTCCATTACACAGAGAAACCCTGTCTTGGAAAAAAAAAAGAAAAAAAGAAAAGCAAAAGTCAAAACAAAACAAAATCCAAAAAACAAACAAAAAAAAAAAAAGAAAAAGAAAAAAGGAAATTTTAGTAAAAAAGAAACTAGCTCTAAGGCAAAAAAGATAAAGTTCACTTGTTAGTTAAAATAACTTTAAACTGTCTTTAAGGTGGAAAGAATCTATAGATTCATATTTGGGGAGCTGGAGAGCTGGTTCAGTGGTTAGGGGCATTTGCTCCTCTTTCAGAAGACATGGCTCACAACCATCCGCAGCTCCAGGTACACACGCTGCAAACATAGGCACACACATATACATTGAGTGAATGGATGGGTGGATGAATAAATGAACAAATAATTACAGACACATGTCTGTAGTCAAACCCCAGTAAACTTCTGTATGTCCAAAAGCTTCTGTGGGGCTGGAAAGGTGGCTCAGGGATGAAGAGCACTGGCTGCTCATGCAGAGGTCCTGGGTTCAATTTTCAGCCCCCACATGGCATCTCACAACCATATGTAACTCTAGTTCCAGGGGACCTGACTCCCTCTTCTGGTCTCTGTGGGCACTGCATGCATGTGGTACACCTACCTGTACACTTAAATCTCAAAAAAGAAACAAATAATTTTGTTATGCTACAGATCTTTATTAATAGAGGCATCTCTGGGGCATCCTTTCATGTCGGCATTCAGGACCATATCATTCTCTTTAAGGGTGCATTTCTACTCAGTGTGTGGATGTACTTATACTTCGTTTTAACAGTTTGTAGTGAAAAATTCAGCTGGTTCCATTTCCCCCTCTTCTTATGAAAAAGGCTGGTGTGATCATCCTTGAAACTCAGAGCCATTCCCTGATACATTTTTTTTTCAAGTTTATTCTCAGGGCAAATTCCTAGCAGCGGAGGAGCTGTATTGGAAGCAATTGCAGAATATTTTTTTTCCCCCTCCAGAAAAAAAAAAATCCACAAATTGCACTTTTACAATAGTGTGTGATGTCATACGAGAAGGACTGTCCCCTGATGGGCCTCAGAGATTTGGGGCTGCTGAGCTGGATTACTCCAGAAGCTGTGTACCTTTACTGGCTCTGTGGCTCCTTGCTTCCACCCTGTCCGCCACTCTCACAGAAGAAACCCATATTCCATCATTTCGGTGCTCATCTCTTAGTGTCCTGGGGAATTTATTGTCAATCTATATCTTTTTTTTAAACTCTTGTATATTTTTTTATTTTTCTATTGTACTTTTTTCCTATGTAAAACTGTAAATTTGGGGATCTTAGGTATTTGCTTTTTTGTACTGCAAATATCTTTCCTCAGTTTGTTAAAGAGTTTTAAGTTTTATTTACTTTTTTTTTTTGTTTTGGTTTTTCAAGACAGGTTTCTCCATGTAACCCTTGCTGTTCTGGAACTCTCTCTGTAGACCAGGCTGGCCAGAGAACTCACAGAGATTGGCCTGCCTCTGCCTCCCAAGTGCTGGGATTAAAGGTGTGTGCCATCCCTGCTCAGGTAGTTACTAATTCTTGGTCAAAGAGAAACTTATATATTTAATGTAGTTAAACTTTGTCATTTATTGACTTGGTATTCCCCCTGGAAATACCCTTTCTATTACAGGATCATCTGCTCCCGGATTTCCCCCTAACAGCCTGTGTGTGGGTCTATGTTTTCCATAAATTATGATGCCATTTGCATTTGGCCCATTTTTTGATTCTCCATATTCTTTCACTGATGTCTACTTTAAAAGACTGTTTTAAATTTTGCACCCTGCATGCATAAGAAAGCAAACTGTCATGTACCAGTGACATCACTTTAAGGATACAGTACTTATCTAGTGAACATTTGGATGACAACAAACAGAGAGCTCCCTCATCAATACGCATGTCATTTTGTCTTGTTTGGCTGCTGCTGTTTGAGACGGGGTAACTCTGAACTGTCTCTCCCATCGCTGTCACGCCTCTGGAATTACAGGCATGTGCTGCCCATACCATTTTGATTCTGATTGTCCTTCTGCCTTGCCACAGCTTCTTCAACGAAGAATCCAGCCCAGCAAATTTATACAGGCAAATAGATACCTCTGGTTGAAGGCATTAGGAAGGGTGGAATTGTAGGGTTTTTGGTAGCTTTCCCTGTTTTAATTTTCTGGAACCACTTAGAATAAGTGGCCCAAACGATAGAAATTAACTTGAGGCTAGGGGTGAGAATCAAGGGGTTGCAGGGTTGTTTTTTTTCTAAGGCCTCTCTTCTTGCCATTTTCTGCCAGTGTCTGTTCATGCCTAATCTCTTCTTATACAACACTAGTCTATTGAATGAGGGTGTGCCCATCTGACCTCTTGTCTCCTGATGTAGTCACACTGAGATACCGGAGGTTAGGGTATCAATTCATGAATTGTGGGGAGACACCAATCAGCCCATAACATTCTTTAACATGGAGAACCCATGTTCCTCAGTAAATTCTGCAAGCATCAGCTCACGTATCCACTCCAAGCCTCCAGGTCCTGGGGGTCATGACTTTCAGTGACAAGCTTTATACTTATAACTTCACTCTGCTTGAGGCCA